ACAACCATACTGTAAATACTTCATTTGCAAAATATCCATCAATCATCTCAAAATTTGTTGTTCTTTCGTTCCCATAACAATTAATCTCTGTTTTTGTTCTTTTCTCTTCAATTTTCTCAACCTTCTGCCACCAGGCATCCCACTTCCGACTGGTGTACTTACTACTTATATCTGTCGACATCAGTAGCACACATCACAATACAACTGAATTTATTTCTTGAGATGGTTTTGTAAAAACTTAAAAAAGAGAAACTAGTTTACTGTCAACTATTAGTGAGCAGTATATTTAAATCTCGAAGCTACACAATAGCGACACTCATTAATTACATTCTATTACCACATAATATCGACGAGTTCTGCGTAATACTAAAAGTGGTGGGTGGTGATGAAAAGTAAGAAAAGATGGAACTTCTTGAACTCAGCTCATGTTTGATTGAGCTCACTTTGTGTACATAAAGCCATGGGGAAACTTATTCATCATCATCATTCTAATATTTTATGAAAGTAAAAATAAAAAATAACTGATTTAGTGGATTGGAACAGTTTTGATTAACGTGGGAGTTTCATATATGTTCATACATACGACTTTGGTTTAATTTAATGTAAATTAAACCATACAGTTTGTGTTAGGGCTGGTGACATAGGAGCGACTGGATAGGGTTTCACAACTGATAAAAACTATTGACTAGAGGTATACTGTTTACATCATTAACCCACTACTGCACTAGTACAAATAATTTATTGATAAATATATCATTCTATTTTAACCCATTTTTTTCAAACGAAAACACAAACTAAGACTATGAAAACTTCATTTCACAAAGTCTGAACCAACGTTTTCTTTGAAATACAGTTCACTTTTCCCAAAGCTCTTATCCCATAACTATTACATCTTACAACAGTTCACTTGAACCTCATGGTGGTGGCCCAGCCAGATTAGTTGGAAAAGACTTTTCTAAGGAGACAAATAGAAGCCTACAGCAAACTGTTTCTTACAGATTACATACATATCATTCAGCAAATGACTACCACCCTCAGCACTTCCTGACACACACATAAGCATTCTCTTAGGAGAAGTTGTTGGTCGCCTCTCCCAAGTATTTGCTATCATATGTTCTTATTATGTCCTCACCTAATAGATTAGGCCGCTGATTTTATGAGACACACGGCAGACAATAATTCGGCTAATATTTCCGTTTTGCGACACCACATGCACACGCTTTACATATACGGTTAAATGGGCGTCGAGTTGAGACCCACGTTTTGTGGATCCTCACCTCCTGGCAAGTTAAAATCAATGCTTCATTGATTCCTTCAAAGTGGTTTTCTCTTTTTTGAGTAGATTTTATAAGGTTTGGAAATTGAAGCTGAAAGCTATCTTGAATTCGATGAATTTTTCAGTATCTCGAAGGAAGGCTGTAATGAACTTTTGTAATGTTGTCTCTCCAGTTGTCCAATGATTCTTTTTTATCACCAAATATTGTTAGATGAAATAGTGGAAAGAATGTAACTGGCAAGGTGATTTTTCCTATGGTGTTTCCGATTGATAATATTAAACGTCAATTCATTCCCAAAAGTTTCGAAACTACTAATTGACTAAGTAGTGATCATTGTTCATTATATCAGAGTTCGAAAATTATTGTGTCTAATCATTCATGCAAAGCTTAGACGATTTTAAAGAATATCCTTATACGTTATAACCGTTCATGAAGAAATAATTTTAGTGTGGTTGAACAGAACAAGAATAGTATTATTCTTTTTGAAGCAGTATCCGCTTTACACCAGTTTTCACACACGGGTACCAGTGAAAGTAACTTGTGCTTTCAGTAAAACTTTCAAGAAAAACGATAAATTTCTGTCGATTGTATTCCGTGCTTCCACTCAGATGTAGAAATTTTCATAAAACACCAGAAAAAAGAGAAAGGAGAAGAGTCTGACTTCAATCCTCACTTGGAATGTGTCTGTCAGCTATCATCCATGCACGAATTTGTAGTATACTCCATCGTATGGATTCCGTATGATGTTGACGATTCTCCTAGGTACTCTATAGTGTTGAAGACGTTTTGATGATGTTCTCCTATCCACATTGTCAAACTCCTCATAGTCAAGGGAGTTGATGTTTAGTGACGATTCTAACGATGTTCCGTAGTGTCGGTCTGTTGTTGGTCTGTGCAGGACCGATCCTTACGGAATCCGACTTGTTGATCTAGAGGTTGTGTGTCTATTGAATCTTTCATCCGGTTCAATAACACTTTTGAGAACCTTTCCTGGTACCTATAGTAATATGATGCCTCTGTAGTTCTCATGTTTGCTCAGATCTCCTTTGGTATGTTGATGAGGTATCCTTCTTTCCAGTAAATTGGCATTTGTTCTTCCTTCCAAATCTCCTTAAATAGAACGTGGAGCATGTTTGCAGTTACTTATGTGTCTGACTTTAGCGCTTCAGCTGGTACATTGTCAGGCCCTGCTGTTCTCCTACTCTTGATTTGTCTAATGACCATCCTGTGAGTGCTGCTCCGATGCTCGGTGGATTTAATGGAGCTGATCTAGTCAAGAGTTCCTCAAAGTGTTCTGTCCATCCTTTCCTCATCTCTTGAATCTCACTGATTGACTTGACTTCTTTGTCCTTGGGCGGTCTACGTGGTTTAGTATATTTCCCTGCCAGTTTCTTCGTTGTGTCATATAGCTGTCTCATATTTCCTCCTTTTGCAGCTTTCACCGCTACCGTTACTAGTTGTTCCACGTATTTCTGCTTGTCGGCTCTAATTCTCCTCATCAATTGTCTGTTTACTTCAGTTTATTCAGCTTGTGCCTTGACTTTCTCAGCTCTTGTTCATCTGTTGTTAATTGCCGTCTTCTCGTATTTCCTTTCTTAAATATTGCACAGGGTTTTCATAGAGATCCGTACCATATGATAATGCTTCTTGAGGCCCAGAACTTCATGACAAGTTGAAGTTAGTGCTTCTTTGAGCCTCTTCCAATTGTCCTCAGTAGTGGTTTTTATCGTCTTTGAGTAGATCTTGTAGGGCTTGAAACCTGAGGCTGAAAGCTACCTTGAATTCGTTGAATTTGTCAGTATTTCGAAGGAAGGCTGTAGTGAACTTTTGTAATGCTGTCTCTCCAGTTGTCCAATTATTCTTTAGCTTCAGTTTCATCTTGGCAAATACCAGAAGGTGATCTGGAGTTATGTCAGCTCCTTTCTTTATTCGCGCTTCCTTGATGGATCTTGTGAACTTATTATTGATATAAATATAATCAACGTAGTTCTCTGTAGTTGTTGTCCAGTGAAACCCATGGAGCTTTATACATGCGTTTGTGGGTGAATATTGTATCACATATAACCATTTCGTAGAATGCACATAAATATTTAAATTTTTCACCATTCTCGTTCTTCCCTCTCAGTTCATGTCGTCCCATGACATCTTCATAAACGATGTTATCTATTTCGAATTTGGCATTTGAGCCTCCTATCAGAATGGTCAGGTCCCTTCCTGGGCACTTCGCTAAGATTGATTGCAGCCTCTCAAAAAACCGATCTTTATCGTCGTCATTGCTATCATTGCTTGGTGCATAACATTGGATAACATTCATTGTGATTCCCTCCTTCTTTGTTTTGAAGGATGCTTTGATGATTCTGGGTCCATGAGGTTCCCATCTTAATAGTTCTTTACGTGATTCTTTGGATGTCATCAGAACAACTCCCTATGTGTGGAGCATTTTCTTCCTCGTGACCAGAGTACAGCAGCAACTCTTCCGAATCTATTCGTTTCTGTCCACCTTGGGTCCAATGGATCTCACCTAGATTGGTGGCCACATTGCAACACGATCGATAGCATTCGATCTGCACTAATAAGGACTAGACAAGCAAGACATTGATCACCACCCAGTGATCAATCAATTGTAATTACATCTCAGTCCTACAGGAGGTTATTCACGGCTCGGATAGCTCAGTGGTAACGTCTCTGACTGTGAAGCTGGGTGACACGAGATCGAATCCACCAGGGAGCACCAGTTCCCTCAAGATTACAGGTACACCTTGCTGACGAGTTCCAAATAGCACGAAACCCGGGTCCAGGGTTTCCTGTTGACTACCTCCAACCACCATCTTAATCTCAATACATAGTGCCTGCAGTGTCGAGTCACCTAGACTGGTGGCCACATTGCAACATGATCGATAGCATTCGATCTGCACTAATAAGGACTAGACAAGCATGACATTGATCACCACCCAGTGATCAATCAATTGTGATTTATTATATATTATATTGATTTATTTGAACAGATAAATATTTGTGCAAGGTGGCATCGAATACACATGAAACCCTTTGTGTCCACCTACCAGGCAAAAGCGCCAGACATTCGCTTTCCGTCCTCCCAATTTGGTGAGCAACAACCCCTCCACGAGAAGCCAGTCAGTAGGACTTACCTACCAGTGGCTGTACATGGGTGGCCATGTGAGAGCACTTGGAGAGGAAGACTGGACTCTCCTCACCCACAGCCCTACCAGGGCATTTAGGGGCACTTATTCCGAGCAACTTCAAGTTGTATCTCCTCATTTCCGCAGCTATTTTATTGGTGTTCCCTGTCACTCCCATCGTATGAAAATTCCGTGTACCTATATAAATTGTTGTTCAGGTTGTTAGAATGGAAATTGGCCTCGTGACTTCCGAAGAATACCGACTTTCACCACGACGGGTCCTAATCCTTCTGGATGAAGATCCTTCAACTCCCAGGACAAAGTGTTTTAAACTATTTATTCTGGTTGGCATTTTTTAGCAAGGTTGTCTTCTACGGGATGAGGTTACTGACCCGTACTCAACCCTCCTCCTTTACCCTCTCTTGTGACCGGCAGTAACCCTAGGACAGCTACAGGTGGAGTTAACTGACGAGCATAACCAACTCATATACATTTGTTAATGTCAAATCAGTCTTCCATGTCAATCATCTTTATATCAAACAACCTACCCAGACCTTTATTTTAATTTTATTTATTTCTATAGATTATGGTGTTACAGCTTCTTTTGGGAATCAACGGAAGCCAAGTAAGTCGAATATTTACCACACAAAAAATTAACTATTATGTATAAGGAATAAATACTTATGAGCATATTAATTCAAATATTTATGCGTGATAAGATGAGAAGTTCCGAATCAATCCCCTCTAATTATCTAACTTCCAAATAATGAGTTACTCATGCTAGTAGACACGTTACTATTTGGTCGATTGTCAAAAATAGGGACCGGATAAACATGACGCTCGTTACTACTCAAAGATAAGTCAATGTAATCTGAGGAATATTTGATATATTTCTATTATTTCAGCAGCATTCAAACCTGATTTTAGTTTACTTAAGTGTAGTGATCACTACATCTGAGCGAATTAATACTAACCTGTAGACGGACATATCATTTTTATCTGGTCAACATTTGTATGTTTTTCCACGTTTATTCTTGTTATTTATCATCATTAACCATTCATTTGTTAACCTTGGACACTTTTTATGTGAGCTTGGATAGTGAATGAATGTTTGCTATAATTTAACTGCTTTTCTGTAGTTTCCATTTCGTTCACCTTATATAAAGTCTGACTTACTCTTTTTTCACTGGCTTTGGCCAAATGTCATTTTCCATGTCCACAGCTCTCATATTTGTCAGACATTCTACATATTTCATATTCAACCTTAATTTTCTACTTTGTATTAATATGATCAGTAGACAGTGTATATGAAAAGTTTAATAGGATCTATATTTCGTTAAGATCATTCATTTCAATAATCACTGTTATCATGGGGTCAGTAAGCGGCCACTAAAATTATTCTCATGACACCTTACTTGAGAAGTGTTTTTAAAAGACGTACTATCTTTACAAATTTAGCAGGAAAATATTAGCGATACGTAAACAAATTACAAGTTAAAATATAACAGCTTACGTTTTGTCACAAAGGACATATATTTTCGTGTTTATATGCTTTTTAGAATCATTCATCGAACCATGAGAAAATTTAAGCTTCAGTCAAACCAAGCAAAAATGACCTAAATAAATAGAAAGTAAAACAAATTTAACATAGGTTAATTACTTTGGATAAAGCACATAGAAATGAGTTGATACTTAAATGTACATTGATTTGCTGACACCTACGACTTATAAGGATAAAATGGTGAAACCGATAATCCAACTCTAAAAATCAAATCTGATCTAGTTGTTTCAATTAGCGGTAATTCACTAAAATATGACCCTGAGTTACATCAAATAACCTACTTTGTTTCATGTAATCCATGCCTATCGTATTCGACCCGATCTATGGTGATTCCTCAACTAAACGATAAGTTACTGATTCTGCCACATATATGTGTATCTACTTAATTCAGCTGCTCCTATGTAGAAAGCTATATTGGGCGCAATGCCAGACAACTGAGCGAACGAGTAAATAAACACCTACCTTTGTGGTTAGGAAAGGGTGCCATCAAAACTGTATGCAGCTCTGATTTATTTAGACTATTAGAAATTACTAATCAAAGATAAGATCAAGATCATATTCGTTTTACATAAGGTGGGAATAACAGATAATTTATCAATCAATATATTGCTGTATCAATTTACTCACACAACATCAATTGTAGTCCTAAACATAAATGGGAAAATTTAAACAACCAATACAGAGATAAATAATGAAAAGTATGTTTCTTAATAGTTTATTCAAAGTTACGTTGTGAAGTGTTGAATACAATCTCCAAACAGAAACCATCGTCTATTCAAGCCGATGATGTTCTGATATAACTTACTATTATTTAACAATAAATTAATAATTTATCTATATTCTTTTGGAAACATCATATATATGTGAGCGAAGTTGTTTTGACTTAAATATTCATCAGACTTTAGTACATAAAGTAATACTTATGTGTTAGTTGCCCGTTGTCTGACTCCAATATGATCGAATAGTTGATAATGCAGAGGAATTATAGATGGTATATTTTCTGTCACTAAATCTTATTAATAATAATGAGCACATAAAAAGTCGAATATGAGTGTTAAATTCATTCATTATTCTAGACAGGTGAACAGATGATCAGCTGGGATGGTAGATGTGTATACTCGAAATAATACTAATAACAAGTGTTGATTGAGGAAAACATTTAGTGCACGGCCATTTTTGTATTTTTTTTCGAGTGAAATTTTTTTCGTCCCTTTTAAAAAAAATTTTCATCCCCATCTTCCAATAATTTTCATTCTGTCTCGTTCAATCAAATAACTAGTTTTGAGTTCGTTATAATTGGTCGTTTATTTCTTCAAACCTATATAAAATATCAGGACATGACGACAGAGCACATTTTCTTACAACTATGGACGGTAGTGACATGCAAAGCACGAGCTCCGTCGTTCCTCACGTTGTCACAGAAACCGATAACCTGTTCGTTCTTGAGCACATTAAGTGTAAAAGAACAAGCCTACGTCGTCTGACAAAATAAATGTCTATCTCAATTATACAGCTTTATACGAACAAAGTCAATTGTATCAAATGACATTTGGGTATACGTACGTTTAATGACAATGTAATAAATAAAAGACTATAATTTATTTACCAAATGTCAAAATGATCAATTTCACCTTATTGAAACATATTGCTTTAGCTTCAATTCATTCATGATCTCAAGCATTCAAATGAAAAATGTGTGATTACGTTTCATGTGATAGTGATACATATATACGTTTTATAAAATGTCTATATCAATTAGTGTGGCACTTATCTGTAACAATGTTACATGCAAAATGTAATAAGAATGTTTAAAATACTTGTCAAAACTTGTTATTCAACAATATAGAATAAATATTCTATGGGGATTTTTAAACTGCAAATATGCTGTTGACATTACGTGCGAAAATTGTTAAGCCCAATTGACGAGCACAATAATCTATTCATCACATGACTACTTACATAGATAAGTATTTTTTGTCATAATTTTAAACTGCTAAACTGCAAAGAATGTACAGGTAAAAACAAGTAACGCTTTTAATGGATTGGCAAAATAACTCACTTGACAATCTTGCATTTATTTATGACACCATTTTTCCGGCGAAACTAGACAATTCTTTTCTACTAAGAATTACTGTTTGGAAAAGAACCCAATCATAAATATTATTTGCTACGCTACTTTCTGAGTAAAATGAAGTTGGTATCTTTTATTTTTAAAGTCAACATTTTGATTAAAACTCGGATGGAACAGTCAGACAGAATTATTCTTTTTATTGGAATAGTTGAGATCGTGAGTGAATCGAAGCTAGAGGAGCACCATGAAAAACCTGTTAATGTCCAACTCCAACTAATCCACGAAATTTTTATAAATCTCCATTGATTATATTGCTTAATCACTAAGGCTTAATTAGAATTCATCATTGTTGGTTCAGCTGACCTTTCCTGTAGAAATGATGTCGTTGTACTAGTGAACTGGTAGTACTACATTCGCCTATCGTAACTATATGACAAAACAGTGAAACATTCTGAATAAGTTTTGCATGTACTATTGTTAGACAGATGAGTGTTCATTAGATGACATTTCCTATACGAAATCGTTTACTTAAACCGTATATTTGATAAAGCCTAAAAAGCGTTTACGAATACGTCGACGATAATCACATAATGACTATTAATCTTAAATGAATATTGATGGTTTCATCACTTAACCTTTGGTATGGAAATAAAAAATTGAAACAAACGAATTTAAATCAAATTGTGGGTGGCCCTGAAAAGGGCCTTTACTCGTTCTCTTAACAGTTCCGAATTTCATGAACAAAAACGCTGCTATGACTCCGTTATAGCGGAGCACATGGGACTGTGGATCCCATGGACGTGTGGTGATGGGTCTTAGGCACAAAATAAATGAAGTATTGCTTCGCATGGACAAAAAAACCAAGCAATTCCATCAACAGTTTCATGTGGCGGTTGCACAAGATTGCAAATATCACAAAGTCTGTTGTCATATGCGTTTCCGTCATTGTCGTCATCTCGTTCAGTGAACTCCTCTGAGTTCATCGAAACGATTTCTCCCTCGCCATTGCTTAACGTTTCATCCATATTGAGGTTATTTTGATAGTTGGTAACTTACAAAATATGAAGGAAAGACATAGAGTGTTCACGGTAGTCCTTAATGTAAAATTATAATAACACTAATCAAATTACCTCGTTCGTCTACTCGGCTGTGAGGAACTGCTAGGTGTTCTACGGCCATTTCTGCAACATACGAATCTAATATACGACTTTCGATCTCTATGGAAATGAGAATCCCTCACCACATAACGGCAGTACGTGGCTCTTTCATACGTTCTAATGACGCTCTTCAACGCTTCAAAAGATTGGAACGCTACGAGATACAATGTGCTCAAGAACGAACAGATTATCGGTTTCTGTGACAACGTGAGGAACGACGGAGCTCGTGCTTCACATGTTTCTACCGTCCATAATTGTAAGAAAATGTGCTCTGTCGTCATGTCCTGATATTTTATATAGATTTGAAGAAATAAACGACCAATTGTAAGGAACTCAAAACTAGTTATTTGATTGGACGAAACAGAATGAAAATTATCAGAAGGGGTTCATTGAGAAATTTCACGGATTGAAATCATTACTCAGTTGAAGCTAGACCATCATGGAAAACCTGGAAGCACTTGACGACTGTTTCGTCCTATTTTCGGACTTCTCAGCAGTGCGCACCCACGATCCTGCACCCCGCCTTTTTCGAACGCAGGACCCACTGGTTTCGCGTGTGAGCACTTCACCACTAGACCACTGAGCCGGTATTCAATTGTGTTAATGTTCATTTTGGTAGATGGGAATGAAAAATTATTTCGAAATGTATGAAAAACAATTTCACTCGAAAAAAATACAAAAATGGTCGTGCATTTAATATTAACCTGCTACATAGATAGCGCATTTTATGTATCGGAATAATAAGCAATGAAATGATACTAATAGGCCGAAAAAATTACACCTTTAACGACATCAAATTCTAGGTAGAAGAGTCAGAAAACAGAATTTCGATCTTATGTATCTTACTTCAGTAAACAAAACAGAATGAAAATTATTGGAAGATGGAGGTGAAAAATTGTTTTCAAAAAGGACCAAAAAAAATTTCACTCGAAATAATACAAAAATGGACGTGCAGTTAGTGTTTACCCCACTCTAGACTCTCGGTTCACTGACTCACTCATTTTGCCTCACTGCTTTGTGGTCTGAGTTATCTGCTTATGAAACTGTAGTTGCTGCTTCTCTTTGCCTTCTGATTTCGACCACTGTTGAGGATTAAATGATAACGGTTACGAGGGTGATTGGTTAACGAAGCACAGCCACTACAGGCTCATAGCACTGAATAAGTTAGTCAACCTTAGATATTAGTTACGGGTGCAATATAAATACTGATATGCCTACACATGTATGTGATTCAAACAAATAAAATGTCGTTGGTTGCAACTTCATTATTTAGACAGCTCTTTATGTTTTCCTGAAACTGTTATTCCATGTATTTTAAAACTATCCGTGTAATGTAATGAAATTGCTTATATCTTCACTTTCATCTACGAGATAACAGTTCCTGTTAATCACATGTTTAAGCTCACATAATTTTGTAAGATACCTAAAACCTAAAGTGAAACTGAGTACTATAAGATCCAGGTGAGCGCCCTATAATATTTAGAATATTTTATTTTTTGTCTGTTCGTTGAAGAGACAACATTAAAATATCTGGCTGTATACATTAAATATATTCTGAGATGTGGAAATGGTTGAAAATGTTTACGATATAAAGTAAATGAAAGTCAGATGTATAGCAAGCCCATTCAACTATTGTATCATTTGTCTACTCACTGTAATTCACACACTTAATTCACTATGTTAATTTCTGTGTGTGTATGATTGAGCGCGTGTCTGCACATCAACCTCAATCTATTCTCCTATTGGTTGTAACATACAGATACTCAATAATTTATCCACACTTGATTCACACTCAAACATTTATATGGATTCTTGACACACACACACTCACATATACTGTCGTGGTTTCACAGTGTGCTTGCTCGCTGTACGCTTGTGGATTTTATTTATGTTTAACAATAGAAAAAGTATCTCTACAACTGGTGTTCAGGCTCCTGAATAATCTCGAGTAAATCCATAATTGTACTAGGAGATTAAGCCTACCTTAAATACTCAGTTAACGGGATATCATTTATTGGAGTCAGATTTAGAGGAAATTAGCCACAACAGATGTCTTACCAAGCAGATCTTGTAGTCATTTAAAAAAAAATTGAGAATCTATTATCCGAATATATGGTAATGAACATGGCTATTATTATTACTTGGTTTAGTCACTGAATTTAGTTATGATTATCACTAGTAAAAATTTGACTATTCTTATTTTACAATTTTGTTCGGTAATTAGATTATGATTAATTAAAAAAATTAGTTATTTTGTCTTTCTTCAGCTTCTAAAAACGCATGAATTATAATATTTTCTTCGTAACATACATACATATACACCTAATTAATGATGTAATATGTAGTTGTAACGAGAAAATTCTCTATTCCCAGATTAAACATAATTTAAATGTTCAGTAATACTCAATTTTTCACGGAGATATTAAAATGTCAATTCACTTGGGCATAGATAACAATAAATATCTAACTACTTATGTGTATAAGTATACAAATAAATATAAGAATGAAATAATAATAATATATAATGTTGTTGTTAACAGTATTACCTTCTCTATTCAACTTCATCGAACGGTAAAATCTCCACTTTTTCTGTGTAAAATCAAATAAAAATCAGTAATTTGACTAGAACTTGGAGCAGTACTTTACTTGTCTATTGTACGTAGTTGGTCTTGGATATTTTTTGTTCTTGACAAAAATTGTTCGATTCAATAAAATCACTCATTCTAACATCATAAAATTAAGATACATCTTTAAATGTTTCCTCTGATACATGTCGGTCAACTCTCTGAGTAATAACACAAAGAAATATCTAAGAATATTTAGAAAAGTATTCATTTATAATCATATTTACCAAACTGATTGCTCTCTCACGCATCCTACATGAGATGATACTGATGAAGTGGAGTTTATCCTATGAAAGATTTTATAACATTTTTGAAAAACGTTCCGTTGGTAAACCTGTTATAATAAACAGAAAATAATTGTATGGTTTGGCTGAGTGGCGACTGTTCACTGAACTAAAATTTATTGACGCAATCACTCACTTTTATGAATGAACAACAAAAGGTTGGACAAATTTTGATAAAGACGAGTTCCCAATGGTATGAAAACTGCATATTTATTTACAAAATGTTTGATAATCAATGGAATTGGAACTTAGTTATAAGATTAATTTATGGCCTATCATAAATTTGACAAGTTTGAAATATTTCAAAATTACTTGACATCTGTTATTCTGTAATCAATGAGACACTAAGGCATATCAATAAACTGTCATATAAATCAGTGTAGAATAGTCTTTGAATGGGTTTATTTTATAAAAAAATTTATAATTTCCAAAAGTGTTAAATTAAAGGACTGTGTGGTAAGTTTGAGAAATAACTTCTAGTTCTGATATTGTTGTGTAAAAAAAGTTTTTTCTGATGGTTTTGGTTGATATGAGTCGTTTCGTAGTTATCAAAATTAGTTTACGTGTCAGGTCGACGTTGTTTAGAAAATACCCTGCGGATAATGTAGGACAGACGTTCTATTTTAAGTTGAACGTTTTCAGTGGTATGAGCTTGTAACTGAAATGAAAAACTTCTGGTTTTTTCAGAAAGCACTATATCATTCACTAACTGAGTTGAGATGTATATTTTTTATAGTCCATTCTCATTATGATGCATTTTACAATCAGTGTCATCTCCAAGTAACTATTTCATTTCTGATGTGAACAGTTCTGTAAATCGAGGCCTTCCACTAAAACATCAGGAAATCTATCTTAAGGCTGATATTTAGTACAGTCAAAATATTTAAAATTAAAACTATTTTTAAACATTTCAGCCACAATTTACGCATAAGGTACATACTTTACCTATTAAAGGAGCATAGACACATATATACTGACCGAATTGGCACCATATACATATTTATATCAAAGTGGACGGCGAAAGCAAACAAATCAAAAGTTCATTTATCGCCAATAGTAATAACTGCTTTTATCGTGTAAATTAGCGCAATACTCGGTAAACAGACAGTCTATTTTGATTAAACAAGATAAGTTCAACTAACCAACCGTACTGGATTATGTCGTTTACGTTTCTGACAATTTTCCATTCGCATTAAAAAAGTACTGTTTGTTCCTGAATCGGTTTTCATGAATATCTTCATTTACGTAGATTTCTTTCATTACAATTAATCTACTTCTGATATATTTCCTGATATCCTGTTATGTACGGTGATTTTATTGTGTATTTAAATATCATATTCCTTTTTTTTATTCTTCTATAAATAATTTAACAAATCCTAGTGAATTTATATTAATTTTTACAGACAGTTATACTATTTAGAAATAAGTATACCTTATCTTCATGTATTTTTCCACTCAATGTTACACAGAATAAAGCTAGAATCTATCGACAGTCTAACCCAAATCTGATAAGGGGCTTATAGCTTTTTGTGAGAAACCATGGAATTGATACCAGCCGACATTATGCTAATGAATAAATTCATAGAAGATATTTTCCAGTGTTTTTATTATTTAAGGTTAATATGAAAGGCTCTCTTGTTTAGTCATACCCTAAAAATTACATGGTGTGATAGAAGGATAAGAAGTAACCTTTAATCATTACGATACAATTTCTGTATGAAATGTAATCCAACAAGAAATCTTTATGGAAACTGTACAGAAAAGTTTATATAAGTATCGTTATCTTGAACAAAATAAATAAATATGGGCTAATCTCCTAAGTACACGAATATTTGTTGTAAAAAGTTTTTTATGTACAATATACGGAGTATAAACGCGAAAATCGCCAACTTCGTAATTAAGTTTCGTTACAATTTTAGCTACAAATATTTGGTTTTAGCTACCTGTGTACTGATTGGCTGATGATAAGTTCAAAATACGTAGGTTATTTATAGGGTTGTTCAACTGTAGTATAAGTTTACATGCATTGAAATTTTCTAACCAATGCTCTGTTATTCATAGATACATGTCAATTTACAATTACAAGTTACGGGAAAGAATCAAATGGTTTTCTTCACATACCAAGTAATTTAATTAGAACGAGAAAACAGTCTGAGTTAAACAACTGTAAATGGAAACTTGAAGGTGGTTATGGACAACGTATACAAATACGTTTTGTACGACGTCTAGATAATTCACAGCAAATCTATCAATTTCAACGTTCACAAATTACATCAAGTGAAGTTAATGATATTGTGTCAAATTATACGAGTGATTTTATTCAATACGATCAAGAATTCGGGGGTTCGATCTATAGACAAAAACACCAACCTGATATGAATGATATACACGAAATTAAATCATCTTTTTTAAACAGTTTAAAGTAAGTTCAGTACGAAATGATACTTATTATTTTATATGGTGTAATTAGAATCAGACAAATCAGTAAAGTGGCATTAACCTACTGGGTTGCCAACTAATGAATCGAGTGTTGTTATGGGTGTATACTAATCATCTGGAATCCATGAGATAATCGTGAATAGTGTTTATGAAAGTTAAATGATATAGTTTATAATCAGTTGCAAAGTATTCTCAGTTTTAGTATTATTTCGCAATTTCTTATTCTACAACTTCATTCTCTATTTCAAATCATTTTCTCTATATTTACTCGTTAGTACTACTAATATTTCAAGATTTTGCTATTCGTTTTGTTAATTTTATCTCGTTATACCTAAACGATGTAGCAGTTTGAACCAATGCATATTTTTCCCAGGTCCTAATTTAATGACAAGTAATTAATGTGATTAGTAAATTGTATTTTACAGGAGCCAGAAAAGTTGTGATGCATTATTATTAATAACTGAAAACTTCATCTTGAGATCTTAACTTTCTGCTATGATGATTTAAAAATTCTGTTTAATCTCTAAATTAACGAGTATCTCAGATTATATACAATCTCATAAATTCTTCATAAATTGTAACATTCTACAATACACTGTTATTCGAAATAGAATCCATTTCATGTAAATAGTAGAATTTGTTTCTACGAATTTCAAATCCGAGATAGAATAAATTTACAGGAGTTAAGGGATTATTTTACAGTTATCCTCAAAGACGATTATAATTTCAGTGCACATATTACTGCTAGACAGGAAACAACAAAGAACGCCAACATTAATCTATAAGTGATTTCTTCGATAATATATGCTCGACAACAACCACAAATTCTGGTTTCTATTCATCGAACGGGAATGTAATAACTAACCCGAGTCTTCACAAGCATCACAATACTGTTGGTCCCATCTTTAAAAATTGTTCAAATTTGGGTGAATTTTCCAAATATTTTAATCATTAGAGATATAATCAATCCTAAATGTTAAAAGTAAAACTATCTTTGAAAAAATTTTGACTATGTATTTGTGGCTAGCAGTAGAATTTAGGAAGCGCGTTCTGTCTCCTTTCTGAGACTTGTATCTCAGCGTTGATATTCACCAAGCTATTGAGTTCAGCCAACGATTAATTTATAACAAACTCTTATTAATAGGATCCTAACTGTGTTTAAACTATAGAAAACTCTGAGTTGTTATTCTTTTGGTCACTTATTTAAAGCTACTTGTCTATAAAATACCTGTATACGTCTAGTTTTTCACAAAAATAAAAACAACTTAAAAATAAGAAATAAAGGCAACAACTAAGCAACTCTTTATTTGGATTGAGGGAGAAACAGGTAGGGATACCTATCGTAAAAAAACCGCCTGCCTGGTTAAACCTAAATAACTGATCAAACATAGTCTGGTCACTTTTTTTCTCTTATTTTCATCACTTTTATCACTTTCTTGCTTATTCTCCCTTAACATCAACTCCTTAAATTACCAATCTATGTGATCAGTCAAGTAGAATTGTGTTCAAAACAATTCAATATCACTGAGAAAAGAAGACGTAGGTACTGAAGTGTAGTGTCTAGAGTATTTTCACCAATAGTAATAATGTGCACGAGTTTTTCTTTTTATCCTAGTATCAGTTAAAACATAAAAACAATGAAAATTTACCGTTTACAAAACGAATCTTAGTGAAAAATGAATTGAAGTTTTGTATTATTTAGTTCGGTCTATAAATTACTTTTGAATAGACTATAATGAGACGGATTGTTTGATCAGAAAGTCGTTACAAGTATGAATACCAGGGTTTTCAGTTACATAAATCATATATATATATTTACATGTCAAATCCTTAACTGATTACAACAGGGGTAATGATTAACTTTAGAGAGAGAAAATTCACTAGGTGAGCAACACAGAAATTGAAGATATTAGTGACTTGAATGACTGAATATATTTAGAAAAGAAGCATTATGTTGACGGAATAAGGGTATAGAACAATATTCAGTCTAAAATGACTGAATCCTCACTACCTTGTCCGATTTCAAGCCATTTCACCGAAAATCTTCAACCATTGATTATGATTAAAATACTAACCTCAGCCGTAGATTATTTTCTGACGTATGAAACTATGTTTACCAGATTCTAATCTCATTGTGATGTCACATATTATGACACCAGTTTATTCAGCTGACAAGATCTATGTGGAGCAACACATGTATTTTGGCTTCGACTGATAATCATTTTTTCAAAATATGGTTAATTAAAAGTAACACTGTAGCATACACTAAAAATGAATATGAGTTCACAAAACCAAAAATAGAAAACATTATCTTCATACTTTAAAAAAATGAACTAACTGGTTAAAGAGTGACAGGAAACCAGTAAGCACTGGAAAAAATGTTTTATACTGATACTGTACTCCTCAACAATAAGCACCGCTGACACAAACATCACAGTATGGTAGATTGACACAGGTCATAAGCGTAAGTGATTGGATGGCAACTAGGTGATCTGAAGACTAATTTCTCTTTGTGAAGTCTGTATGTATAAGACTCGACCATTGTTGCAGTCGCGGACATGCACGGATATGGAGACCTATATTAGGGAGACTGTTATATCTTGTGACTGCAGATTAGAGGACAGTGACTTATCGATCGGACCAAGGACGCGTAAAATACGTATGAGTAGCCTAGAGTTTGATTGGCCCAGCCAGTTAAGTCCAGAACACAAGTCTCAGCTTCTGCGATATGAATCATGTATTTCAAACATACTCTGTTTATATACCAATCAAGCAAACCACACAGCACCATAAAACAGAAAATAACATTTGTTCAATATTTGGCCAACAGGGAAACGACACGTGAAATAAAAATTGACCAATAGGAAAATGATGCCATTTCAAGTCCAAGGATAGCATTAAACTTAACAGGATAATTTCTGGGATATTTTTCGGAATATCGCAACAGAGACCTAGTTGTTCAGACATTTCTACCTTTCAATGATTGCATAACCAAGGTCAGTCCGTTATGAAAAACCCCTTATATAAAATATCTGCAAATATATATAACCAATGAGAAAGCTCCTCAGTAGATATAGCAGCCACAAGAAATTTAAGACACTTTAAAAATAATCAATGAATATTGTTACTACAGCTTTAATTGAAAGATAATTCCTATTTAAACATTAAAATTAAAACACGAATTTCAGCGAAGGGATCTCTTTTCAACGAATTTATTATCAAGCTGTACAATCGTATATATATGAAAGTTTTTATAAAAGTACTAATTCCGTGAGGAAATGTGGACACAGTTAATAAAAAGGTTATAATACTAGATTACGTAATATGAATAATAACAATAGATTTAGTGAATATAATAAGATGATTAAAATGATTAAAATGTTTTTGATATAATAATTAAAGGTTATAGAGGTGTACAAAAATAAAGTGATATGATGAGCGTTCATGAATAAAACAATGAGAATATAAGACATAAGTAAAGGGGGAATGCAGTAATAATAATAATAATAATAATAATAATAATAATAATAATAATAATAATAATAATAATAATAATAATAATAATAATAATAGGATAATCAAACTAATTAAGGCCAAGGTAACGATAACGATAAGACGTACTTCTTTTGTACGCATAGTTCTGGTTTAAGCTCCTGGATGGCAAGAGCTTCGGCTATTTTTAAAAGTTGGATACGAAGAAATCTGGGTAGATTTGAACGAATCATATAAACAACTTTAAAGTCAATTTGTGGATCTGTTGAATGGTTATAGTCGATTAGGTGTTCAAGTATAGAACTCCTAACTGCTTTCCTTTCACCCTTATAGAACCAGGCTGGGATATGTTCTCGTATCCGAGTTGAAAACGAGCGCTGGCTACGGCCAATGTACCTTGCTCCACAAGAGCAGGTGAACTGGTAGATGCACATGAAGGCGACCAGACGCGGAAGCTTATCTTTTATGGATACAGAAAATAAGTTTCTACTAGTGAAGGATATTCGCAGTTTTGCCGCGTTAAATGTTCTTCTAATAGTTGTTGTTTGACGATTTTTGATTACGTCTGATGTTCGATCACCTTTAAATTCCAGACTTATATAAAGGTTTTTCTTTGGAACGGAATAACTAGAATTCTTCTCGCGACTACTTTTATTCATATTCTTTTCTATGAAACGTTCTGGGTAACCATTTTCCGTCAAAGTCTTCTTGAGGAATGCGAGTTCTTCGTTAATGCATTCCGCACTGCAAATGTGATGTATGCGATAGCATAAAGAATGGATAAGGTTTCTCTTCCTACTTAACGGAACCCAGCTATAGAAGTTGGTTAGCTGGCCATTCCATGTTTGTTTTCTGAAGATGGATCTTTTTAAAGAACCATCACTCTTTCTCATCAGACGTACATCGAGAAAAGGAATTGATTGGTCTCGTTCCCTTTCTAACGTGAAGTCTATGGAAGGGTGGCACGAGTTAAAGGTGTGTAGAATATCATCTAAATCAATATTATTGTCACAAACAACAAACGTGTCGTCCATGTATCTCACGTATAGGTGGAATCGATTGATCATTGAACGGAGTTGATCGTTTTCTACTTTTGCAATGAAACAGTCTGCTAAAATTGAACCCAATCGAGACCCCATTGCGATCCCATCCCTTTGTCTATATATTTTATTATTGAAACTGAACTGGACATTAAAAGTACAGCGTAACAATAGTTCTTTCAAGTGTTCAGTTGGCAAACCTAGATCTATATAGTTAGAATCAATATACTCACATATATAACATATTGTTTCGGTTAAAGGTACGCTAGTGAACAAAGAATTAACGTCAAGCGAGAACACGTGTTTTTCGGAAGTATTAACGTCCTTAATACGATCAATAAATTGAAAAGTATCATGAATAGAATGTTTACATACTTGCCTTCTAACCGGTTCCAATTTTTCCGCTAACCATTTGGCGATTCTGTGGTATGGTGAACTTGACATGCCCAAAATAGGTCGTAACGGTAAACCCGGCTTATGTATTTTCGGTAGTCCATATAAGCGTGGGATGACTGAACCCATGTGACACATGTGATTATATAAATCTTGGGTTATTATCCCCTTATTCTTAAGATTTTTAACAACATGTGTTAGCTGTTTTTCGATTTGTAATGTTTTATCAAATTCTTTAGGTTTGATAAAACATTACAAATCGAAAAACAGCTAACACATGTTGTTAAAAATCTTAAGAATAAGGGGATAATAACCCAAGATTTATATAATCACATGTGTCACATGGGTTCAGTCATCCCACGCTTATATGGACTACCGAAAATACATAAGCCGGGTTTACCGTTACGACCTATTTTGGACATGCTCATCATATCACTTTATTTTTGTACACCTCTATGACCTTTAATTATTATATCAAAAACATTTTAATCATTTTAATCATCTTATTATATTCACTAAATCTATTGTTATTATTCATACTACAGGTTTATGCGAATGGTTTGACCTAATTATTCAAAGGACAGAAATCATTGATGGTTAGGTCACTGTTGACAACAACTAGCCCGACATAAATTATTGAATTGGTTAGCTATATCACTGAAATTAAACAATTTCCACAACCCTATGTTGATCATATATAAATACTTAACTAGTTTCTAATATCTAAAATGATTTAGAAATGCAATTAATTTCCAGTTCACAGCGCTTTTTATTGATCGTAAATATCTGTTAACTTCGAGTAACCTTACTAATAAATTTTTTCGTGACAATTTTGTTTTCTTATATCTTATTTGTTCAGATGTCCCACTTCAATGACTTTGGAATTGATCAATTATCGTGCTGACGTTTTAACTACTAACAATGATATCAATAGACTGTTAAATAACAGGTTAAATCCTAATTTCGTTTCACAACAAAGTTATTCATCGTTAAAGTTAAATGCAATTTCAACTACACAATCGACATCAACTTTATTCACCACAGATCCCATAGAAACTGTACCTTTAGATCCTGTTCGTTTATGCGCTGGGGATTTTATGACTTATTCACCAGCAAGTAAGGGTTTCATGTCTGGAAATATTCCACGTTTAGATATAATTCTTAAGATCACTCAATCTAGAAATGGTACCAATGTTAATAATGATAATAATAGTGACAATAATAGTAGAAACATGAAACAAAATTTCCAGAGTATTCAGCATTCAGATTTAGGCTATGATGTGCAGTATAAATTTGTCACAGGTGAGAAAATCGGTTTTCATTTTTTAAGGGAAACTAATATGTTAATAATTGTCTCAATAATTATTTTAATTTTTTTATCACCGAATATTGTTAGATGAAATAGTGGAAAGAATGTAACTGGCAAGGTGATTTTTCCTATGGTGTTTCCGATTGATAATATTAAACGTCAATTCATTCCCAAAAGTTTCGAAACTACTAATTGACTAAGTAGTGATCATTGTTCATTATATCAGAGTTCGAAAATTATTGTGTCTAATCATTCATGCAAAGCTTAGACGATTTTAAAGAATATCCTTATACGTTATAACCGTTCATGAAGAAATAATTTTAGTGTGGTTGAACAGAACAAGAATAGTATTATTCTTTTTGAAGCAGTATCCGCTTTACACCAGTTTTCACACACGGGTACCAGTGAAAGTAACTTGTGCTTTCAGTAAAACTTTCAAGAAAAACGATAAATTTCTGTCGATTGTATTCCGTGCTTCCACTCAGATGTAGAAATTTTCATAAAACACCAGAAAAAAGAGAAAGGAGAAGAGTCTGACTTCAATCCTCACTTGGAATGTGTCTGTCAGCTATCATCCATGCACGAATTTGTAGTATACTCCATCGTATGGATTCCGTATGATGTTGACGATTCTCCTAGGTACTCTATAGTGTTGAAGACGTTTTGATGATGTTCTCCTATCCACATTGTCAAACTCCTCATAGTCAAGGGAGTTGATGTTTAGTGACGATTCTAACGATGTTCCGTAGTGTCGGTCTGTTGTTGGTCTGTGCAGGACCGATCCTTACGGAATCCGACTTGTTGATCTAGAGGTTGTGTGTCTATTGAATCTTTCATCCGGTTCAATAACACTTTTGAGAACCTTTCCTGGTACCTATAGTAATATGATGCCTCTGTAGTTCTCATGTTTGCTCAGATCTCCTTTGGTATGTTGATGAGGTATCCTTCTTTCCAGTAAATTGGCATTTGTTCTTCCTTCCAAATCTCCTTAAATAGAACGTGGAGCATGTTTGCAGTTACTTATGTGTCTGACTTTAGCGCTTCAGCTGGTACATTGTCAGGCCCTGCTGTTCTCCTACTCTTGATTTGTCTAATGACCATCCTGTGAGTGCTGCTCCGATGCTCGGTGGATTTAATGGAGCTGATCTAGTCAAGAGTTCCTCAAAGTGTTCTGTCCATCCTTTCCTCATCTCTTGAATCTCACTGATTGACTTGACTTCTTTGTCCTTGGGCGGTCTACGTGGTTTAGTATATTTCCCTGCCAGTTTCTTCGTTGTGTCATATAGCTGTCTCATATTTCCTCCTTTTGCAGCTTTCACCGCTACCGTTACTAGTTGTTCCACGTATTTCTGCTTGTCGGCTCTAATTCTCCTCATCAATTGTCTGTTTACTTCAGTTTATTCAGCTTGTGCCTTGACTTTCTCAGCTCTTGTTCATCTGTTGTTAATTGCCGTCTTCTCGTATTTCCTTTCTTAAATATTGCACAGGGTTTTCATAGAGATCCGTACCATATGATAATGCTTCTTGAGGCCCAGAACTTCATGACAAGTTGAAGTTAGTGCTTCTTTGAGCCTCTTCCAATTGTCCTCAGTAGTGGTTTTTATCGTCTTTGAGTAGATCTTGTAGGGCTTGAAACCTGAGGCTGAAAGCTACCTTGAATTCGTTGAATTTGTCAGTATTTCGAAGGAAGGCTGTAGTGAACTTTTGTAATGCTGTCTCTCCAGTTGTCCAATTATTCTTTAGCTTCAGTTTCATCTTGGCAAATACCAGAAGGTGATCTGGAGTTATGTCAGCTCCTTTCTTTATTCGCGCTTCCTTGATGGATCTTGTGAACTTATTATTGATATAAATATAATCAACGTAGTTCTCTGTAGTTGTTGTCCAGTGAAACCCATGGAGCTTTATACATGCGTTTGTGGGTGAATATTGTATCACATATAACCATTTCGTAGAATGCACATAAATATTTAAATTTTTCACCATTCTCGTTCTTCCCTCTCAGTTCATGTCGTCCCATGACATCTTCATAAACGATGTTATCTATTTCGAATTTGGCATTTGAGCCTCCTATCAGAATGGTCAGGTCCCTTCCTGGGCACTTCGCTAAGATTGATTGCAGCCTCTCAAAAAACCGATCTTTATCGTCGTCATTGCTATCATTGCTTGGTGCATAACATTGGATAACATTCATTGTGATTCCCTCCTTCTTTGTTTTGAAGGATGCTTTGATGATTCTGGGTCCATGAGGTTCCCATCTTAATAGTTCTTTACGTGATTCTTTGGATGTCATCAGAACAACTCCCTATGTGTGGAGCATTTTCTTCCTCGTGACCAGAGTACAGCAGCAACTCTTCCGAATCTATTCGTTTCTGTCCACCTTGGGTCCAATGGATCTCACCTAGATTGGTGGCCACATTGCAACATGATCGATAGCATTCGATCTGCACTAATAAGGACTAGACAAGCAAGACATTGATCACCACCCAGTGATCAATCAATTGTAATTACATCTCAGTCCTACAGGAGGTTAGTCACGGCTCGGATAGCTCAGTGGTAACGTCTCTGACTGTGAAGCTGGGTGACACGAGATCGAATCCGCCACGGAACACCAGTTCCCTCAAGATTACAGGTACACCTTGCTGACGAGTGCCAAATAGCACGGAACACGTGTCCAGGGTTTCCTGTTGACTACCTCCAACCACCATCTAAATCTCAATACATAGTGCCCGCAGTGTCGAGTCACCTAGACTGGTGGCCACATTGCAACATGATCGATAGCATTCGATCTGCACTAATAAGGACTAGACAAGCAAGACATTGATCACCACCCAGTGATCAATCAATTGTGATTTATTATATATTATATTGATTTATTTGAACAGATAAATATTTGTGCAAGGTGGCATCGAATACACATGAAACCCTTTGTGTCCACCTACCCGGCAAAAGCGCCAGACATTCGCTTTCCGTCCTCCCAATTTGGTGAGCAACAACCCCTCCACGAGAAGCCAGTCAGTAGGACTTACCTACCAGTGGCTGTACATGGGTGGCCATGTGAGAGCACTTGGAGAGGAAGACTGGACTCTCCTCACCCACAGCCCTACCAGGGCATTTAGGGGCACTTATTCCGAGCAACTTCAAGTTGTATCTCCTCATTTCCGCAGCTATTTTATTGGTGTTCCCTGTCACTCCCATCGTATGAAAATTCCGTGTACCTATATAAATTGTTGTTCAGGTTGTTAGAATGGAAATTGGCCTCGTGACTTCCGAAGAATACCGACTTTCACCACGACGGGTCCTAATCCTTCTGGATGAAGATCCTTCAACTCCCAGGACAAAGTGTTTTAAACTATTTATTCTGGTTGGCATTTTTTAGCAAGGTTGTCTTCTACGGGATGAGGTTACTGACCCGTACTCAACCCTCCTCCTTTACCCTCTCTTGTGACCGGCAGTAACCCTAGGACAGCTACAGGTGGAGTTAACTGACGAGCATAACCAACTCATATACATTTGTTAATGTCAAATCAGTCTTCCATGTCAATCATCTTTATATCAAACAACCTACCCAGACCTTTATTTTAATTTTATTTATTTCTATAGATTATGGTGTTACAGCTTCTTTTGGGAATCAACGGAAGCCAAGTAAGTCGAATATTTACCACACAAAAAATTAACTATTATGTATAAGGAATAAATACTTATGAGCATATTAATTCAAATATTTATGCGTGATAAGATGAGAAGTTCCGAATCAATCCCCTCTAATTATCTAACTTCCAAATAATGAGTTACTCATGCTAGTAGACACGTTACTATTTGGTCGATTGTCAAAAATAGGGACCGGATAAACATGACGCTCGTTACTACTCAAAGATAAGTCAATGTAATCTGAGGAATATTTGATATATTTCTATTATTTCAGCAGCATTCAAACCTGATTTTAGTTTACTTAAGTGTAGTGATCACTACATCTGAGCGAATTAATACTAACCTGTAGACGGACATATCATTTTTATCTGGTCAACATTTGTATGTTTTTCCACGTTTATTCTTGTTATTTATCATCATTAACCATTCATTTGTTAACCTTGGACACTTTTTATGTGAGCTTGGATAGTGAATGAATGTTTGCTATAATTTAACTGCTTTTCTGTAGTTTCCATTTCGTTCACCTTATATAAAGTCTGACTTACTCTTTTTTCACTGGCTTTGGCCAAATGTCATTTTCCATGTCCACAGCTCTCATATTTGTCAGACATTCTACATATTTCATATTCAACCTTAATTTTCTACTTTGTATTAATATGATCAGTAGACAGTGTATATGAAAAGTTTAATAGGATCTATATTTCGTTAAGATCATTCATTTCAATAATCACTGTTATCATGGGGTCAGTAAGCGGCCACTAAAATTATTCTCATGACACCTTACTTGAGAAGTGTTTTTAAAAGACGTACTATCTTTACAAATTTAGCAGGAAAATATTAGCGATACGTAAACAAATTACAAGTTAAAATATAACAGCTTACGTTTTGTCACAAAGGACATATATTTTCGTGTTTATATGCTTTTTAGAATCATTCATCGAACCATGAGAAAATTTAAGCTTCAGTCAAACCAAGCAAAAATGACCTAAATAAATAGAAAGTAAAACAAATTTAACATAGGTTAATTACTTTGGATAAAGCACATAGAAATGAGTTGATACTTAAATGTACATTGATTTGCTGACACCTACGACTTATAAGGATAAAATGGTGAAACCGATAATCCAACTCTAAAAATCAAATCTGATCTAGTTGTTTCAATTAGCGGTAATTCACTAAAATATGACCCTGAGTTACATCAAATAACCTACTTTGTTTCATGTAATCCATGCCTATCGTATTCGACCCGATCTATGGTGATTCCTCAACTAAACGATAAGTTACTGATTCTGCCACATATATGTGTATCTACTAATTCAGCTGCTCCTATGTAGAAAGCTATATTGGGCGCAATGCCAGACAACTGAGCGAACGAGTAAATAAACACCTACCTTTGTGGTTAGGAAAGGGTGCCATCAAAACTGTATGCAGCTCTGATTTATTTAGACTATTAGAAATTACTAATCAAAGATAAGATCAAGATCATATTCGTTTTACATAAGGTGGGAATAACAGATAATTTATCAATCAATATATTGCTGTATCAATTTACTCACACAACATCAATTGTAGTCCTAAACATAAATGGGAAAATTTAAACAACCAATACAGAGATAAATAATGAAAAGTATGTTTCTTAATAGTTTATTCAAAGTTACGTTGTGAAGTGTTGAATACAATCTCCAAACAGAAACCATCGTCTATTCAAGCCGATGATGTTCTGATATAACTTACTATTATTTAACAATAAATTAATAATTTATCTATATTCTTTTGGAAACATCATATATATGTGAGCGAAGTTGTTTTGACTTAAATATTCATCAGACTTTAGTACATAAAGTAATACTTATGTGTTAGTTGCCCGTTGTCTGACTCCAATATGATCGAATAGTTGATAATGCAGAGGAATTATAGATGGTATATTTTCTGTCACTAAATCTTATTAATAATAATGAGCACATAAAAAGTCGAATATGAGTGTTAAATTCATTCATTATTCTAGACAGGTGAACAGATGGTCAGCTGGGATGGTAGATGTGTATACTCGAAATAATACTAATAACAAGTGTTGATTGAGGAAAACATTTAGTGCACGGCCATTTTTGTATTTTTTTTCGAGTGAAATTTTTTTCGTCCCTTTTAAAAAAAATTTTCATCCCCATCTTCCAATAATTTTCATTCTGTCTCGTTCAATCAAATAACTAGTTTTGAGTTCGTTATAATTGGTCGTTTATTTCTTCAAATCTATATAAAATATCAGGACATGACGACAGAGCACATTTTCTTACAACTATGGACGGTAGTGACATGCAAAGCACGAGCTCCGTCGTTCCTCACGTTGTCACAGAAACCGATAACCTGTTCGTTCTTGAGCACATTAAGTGTAAAAGAACAAGCCTACGTCGTCTGACAAAATAAATGTCTATCTCAATTATACAGCTTTATACGAACAAAGTCAATTGTATCAAATGACATTTGGGTATACGTACGTTTAATGACAATGTAATAAATAAAAGACTATAATTTATTTACCAAATGTCAAAATGATCAATTTCACCTTATTGAAACATATTGCTTTAGCTTCAATTCATTCATGATCTCAAGCATTCAAATGAAAAATGTGTGATTACGTTTCATGTGATAGTGATACATATATACGTTTTATAAAATGTCTATATCAATTAGTGTGGCACTTATCTGTAACAATGTTACATGCAAAATGTAATAAGAATGTTTAAAATACTTGTCAAAACTTGTTATTCAACAATATAGAATAAATATTCTATGGGGATTTTTAAACTGCAAATATGCTGTTGACATTACGTGCGAAAATTGTTAAGCCCAATTGACGAGCACAATAATCTATTCATCACATGACTACTTACATAGATAAGTATTTTTTGTCATAATTTTAAACTGCTAAACTGCAAAGAATGTACAGGTAAAAACAAGTAACGCTTTTAATGGATTGGCAAAATAACTCACTTGACAATCTTGCATTTATTTATGACACCATTTTTCCGGCGAAACTAGACAATTCTTTTCTACTAAGAATTACTGTTTGGAAAAGAACCCAATCATAAATATTATTTGCTACGCTACTTTCTGAGTAAAATGAAGTTGGTATCTTTTATTTTTAAAGTCAACATTTTGATTAAAACTCGGATGGAACAGTCAGACAGAATTATTCTTTTTATTGGAATAGTTGAGATCGTGAGTGAATCGAAGCTAGAGGAGCACCATGAAAAACCTGTTAATGTCCAACTCCAACTAATCCACGAAATTTTTATAAATCTCCATTGATTATATTGCTTAATCACTAAGGCTTAATTAGAATTCATCATTGTTGGTTCAGCTGACCTTTCCTGTAGAAATGATGTCGTTGTACTAGTGAACTGGTAGTACTACATTCGCCTATCGTAACTATATGACAAAACAGTGAAACATTCTGAATAAGTTTTGCATGTACTATTGTTAGACAGATGAGTGTTCATTAGATGACATTTCCTATACGAAATCGTTTACTTAAACCGTATATTTGATAAAGCCTAAAAAGCGTTTACGAATACGTCGACGATAATCACATAATGACTATTAATCTTAAATGAATATTGATGGTTTCATCACTTAACCTTTGGTATGGAAATAAAAAATTGAAACAAACGAATTTAAATCAAATTGTGGGTGGCCCTGAAAAGGGCCTTTACTCGTTCTCTTAACAGTTCCGAATTTCATGAACAAAAACGCTGCTATGACTCCGTTATAGCGGAGCACATGGGACTGTGGATCCCATGGACGTGTGGTGATGGGTCTTAGGCACAAAATAAATGAAGTATTGCTTCGCATGGACAAAAAAACCAAGCAATTCCATCAACAGTTTCATGTGGCGGTTGCACAAGATTGCAAATATCACAAAGTCTGTTGTCATATGCGTTTCCGTCATTGTCGTCATCTCGTTCAGTGAACTCCTCTGAGTTCATCGAAACGATTTCTCCCTCGCCATTGCTTAACGATTCATCCATATTGAGGTTATTTTGATAGTTGGTAACTTACAAAATATGAAGGAAAGACATAGAGTGTTCACGGTAGTCCTTAATGTAAAATTATAATAACACTAATCAAATTACCTCGTTCGTCTACTCGGCTGTGAGGAACTGCTAGGTGTTCTACGGCCATTTCTCCAACATACGAACTTAATATACGGCTTCCGATCTCTATGAAAATAAGAATCCCTCACCACATAATGGCAGTACGTGGCTCTTTCATACGTTCTAATGACGCTCTTCAACGCTTCAAAAGATTGGAACGCTACGAGATACAATGTGCTCAAGAACGAACAGGTTATCGGTTTCTGTGACAACGTGAGGAACGACGGAGCTCGTGCTTTGCATGTCACTACCGTCCATAGTTGTAAGAAAATGTGCTCTGTCGTCATGTCCTGATATTTTATATAGATTTGAAGAAATAAACGACCAATTATAACGAACTCAAAACTAGTTATTTGAATAAGTTTTGCATGTACTATTGTTAGACAGATGAGTGTTCATTAGATGACATTTCCTATACGAAATCGTTTACTTAAACCGTATATTTGATAAAGCCTAAAAAGCGTTTACGAATACTTCGACGATAATCACATAATGATTACCAATCTTAAATGAATTTTGATGGTTTCATCACTTGACCTTTGTCATAGAGTTAAGGAATTGAAACAAAATAATTCAAATCAAATTGTGGGTGGCACTGAAAAGGGCCTTTACTCGTTCTCTTAACAGTTCCGAATTTCATGAACAAAAAAGTTGCTATGACTCCGTTATAGCGTCGCACATGGGACAGTGGATCCCATGGACGTGTGGTGATGGGTCTTAGGCACAAAATAAATGAAGTATTGCTTCGCATGGACAAAAAAACCAAGCAATTCCATCAACAGTTTCATGTGGCGGTTGCACAAGATTGCAAATATCACAAAGTCTGTTGTCATATGCGTTTCC